GATTAAATTCATGGCTAACATACTTGATCACATTTTAACCCTACTTTTAATAATAATGCATAACCTACTGTATGAGAGTTACAAAAAATTCAGAGGTTGAAATTAGAGGCATAAACCCACAAAACAAGAAAAAAAAAAAGAAAGAAGTAACTTTATAATTACTAAATTCAAGAAATTACCTTCAGACCCCTCAGTTCTGCTAGAAGACGGAGATGCTAGTGGCAATTTTTCCTGGACTTGCGAGTGTGGAGAAAGCTGTATGACATTCTGCATGGCTTACTAAGTACAATTTCTCTACTTTTCTATGCTATCTTTATGCAGAGAAATCTTAAGGGCCAATATTACTTTCTTCCATTCAGAAGGGTCGCTTGGAGGCAGTTATATTACTTATTTCATTGTATGACTGATTAATCATAAGCACTATTTGCCCCTCCTTCTTGTTTGCCTTCACTTGCTCAATTCACAGCACTAAAAACTTTGCTATGTTAACTTGAGAAATTTCAGCTGTTTTCCCATACTTTGTTATTTTGTCTAGCCCTTCTCATCTTTCTTGTAAAATGAAAATATTCAATCAAATCTTCAGGAAATAATTAAATTCATATGTTTTTTTAAGACATGATGGCATAAAAGAAAACTGCTGAAGTAACACTCTCTCCTTTCCTTTAAGCATTGAAAAGTATTTAAATGTATTTATGCAGCATCTCCTCCATAAATGTTATTTTAAGTTGAAAGCAGGTCTTTCTGAATGGCTAAGTTTGTAATTTGTGCGCTAGATTTTAAAAAATGCCCAAGTAACCACAGCTGTGCTAAAGCTGATGAGAAACAGAAACGATCAACATTGCATAATGCAGTGTTGTACAGAAATACCTAAGCTAACTTATTTAGCGTTTGCTTGGGCCTGGGAATGAGTTGTGTTGACACAGTGCTCCACTGAGGTGAATTCACCCTGCCTGAGAGCGTGCTAGCACAGTCAAACAGCTTTCTTATCCAAAGCTGGGCTCTGCAGAGTTCGTGTGGTTTCTCTCCGCAGCGCAGCACAAGGCTGGCTGTGTACGCTCCTGAGGCCCCCGCATTGTGTA